CGCTTGGCAGTTGATTAAATAAAATTATTAAATTAAAAAAAAATTATATTTTATGTTAGTGCTTGATTTTTTAGTTCATCTCGTTATGTATTCTTAATCGATTATTGTGCTAAATGAAAAAAAAAAAAAAATGCATGGAATTTTAATTTGAATAGTAAAAGGTCGCTCGAAAAAATCTAAACTAATGCACTAATAAATTGAAAAAAATTATGAGCGACCTTTTAAAATTTGAATTTTGAACTGAAATTTTCAGAAACTTATTTTTTTTTAGTCTATAAAATTATACCGTAACGAGAAAAAAAATTAAAAAAAAAAAAATTTGATTTTTGACGATTTTTGAAATTTTGAAAAATTTGGAGTGACCTCTTAAAAATTTTTTTTTAAGCTGTCCTTTGGTGAGGACTCTTAAAACATCAAAAACTAACATTTTTTCACTCGAGACTAAAAAAAAGTCGGTTTTTTTGCGCCACCCTAATGTATATATTTATACGAAAGAGCGTGACTTGTCACGACGATAGCGTTTATAATTCTTGAAGAATCTTAATCAAACTCAATATAGTTATTATTTGAACGATTGTCCAGATCAACTTCGAAGATCATCAAAATCAGTATATTAGTTTAGAAATTACAGCTTTTTAAAATAAAAAAAAATCATATTTCTGTAAGTATGCCTTTTGAAAGAACTTTTTGGTGCATATTAACATCGAATTTTTGTATTGTATCATTTCATTCTTTCAGATGATACTGAAATCAGCAGACATCTGTCAATTTTTTTAAAATTTTTATAACAAATCGATTATAAAAAAAAATATTTTTCAAAAACTTGCACTTAAAAATCTTTCAAATTTCTAGATGTGGATTTTTTTATTAAAACTTTTTCATAGCAATTTCGCGATTATAAAATTTTAACAATATTGACAGATAGCTGTTGAGTTCTATTACTTTTTTATTTTTATTTTATTTTATTGAAAAAAACAAAACCCAACAGCTTGCGCCATTAACAGGGTTAATAGTATAATTATACATAGAGTAAATACAAATTTATATATTTACAAAGTTTAGCAAGATGTCCCCTGTAGTTAACAAGTTTTAAACCCTAAATCATCTATTTTTCAGAGTATTTGATGAAACTTTACTATAATAGATTCGCTTCAATAATACTATAATTTTTCTATAACTTTGAAAAAGCTACTTTCATTTTTGCTGCACAATAGCTTCTTTATTCATATAGATAAAAAAAAAAATCCTTTTAAAATCATAAAACTGATTGCTTCAACATTGTTTAAATTTACATGACGTTCCTCACAAAAGAATTCAAAGATTCTGCTCTTGAAGCTTGAGATGATGAAAAAGAAATTGTTTTACAAAGTCTTTGTCGTTTTTTATAATAAATTATCTAAATTTGAATTAAACCGTTCTCCTAGCTACATTATGTCTGTATCATATAATAAAATTCACCAAGAAAATCAATCGTGGCAGGAGAACTTGAAAATCTATAGCAGAAACCTGTTGGTAAGTCTTTAAATTAGTGGTGTAAACTTTGTGCTAACGTGATCATAAATGAATCATCAGTGAAAAAATTATTACTCTCTGTAAAATTTATAAAGGATATCATTTAAACCTTACAAAATTTCCAAGCGAGTTTCTAAAAAATAAATAAAAAATTGTAAGTAAATTTTTTTATATTTTTTTTTTATTTTTTCGGCATTCGAAATTTCATCTCAAGTCTGAGGTTATGTTTCGTTTTTTTTCTACGTGTTATTTTTTATATCGGATACCGAAAAGTACGACATCAGTCTCCATATTTTACCATTGTACGGTATAATAATGTAGTTCAGTCCTTTACCGTCCGTCAATCTGCGCGCGCGCTTGTTTTTCTCAGTCGAAATAAATTTATAAAGAGCGCATCGGAACAACGAGCAAAGAATATAGTTTAAAAATTGTAATGCAAATATAAAACTAAAAAAAAAAAAAAAGGACATTACATATTACACTACACGAGTTTCATAGTTACAATTTACAAGTAACCTTTGACTTTATTTTGAATCTTAACCAAGGTCATTGATATCGCTTAGCAGCCTTGACGCGATTGTAATAAATTTGCGTACATCGTTTATCGATTCGCATTCATTATTTAAAACAATTTATTATTTAAATTGTATCCCGCAATGAATTTACTTGGACTCAAAGTGAGTACTATTGAATAAAATATATAAAATTAAATATAATTTGGTCTGAGTTGCGCTCCTTACTTTTTAACAATTTTAAATAATTAATAATTGCTAATAATAATTAATAATAAATAAACCGGTGTCAGATTTCCAATAAGTGATTTTTTATTGCCACTTAATGTTTTACACACATTAAATTTATCAATTATCGAGTACGCTCCGATAAACCTCGACATTATGCCACCGAGTTAAATAAATATTTCAGGTACAATCATTTAATTTCAGTACATTTTTTTAAAATATTTTTTAAGGAAAAAATGGAATGTCAAAGATGCCAGTAGTTAAGTAATAAACAAAACATTGTTGCTGTTTTTTTTAATAAATAAATGGTATACTAAATATTGTGTACAAATATAATAAATAATAATGGGGATACAGGCAGCCTTTTATTTCTTCTCGTTCATTCATAGCTTCATGCTTACACCCACTCGTAACATTCGCAGTAGATAAAATTTAATTGGTCACCGGACCACTCTTTATTTATTACTTTTATAAAATTAGCCCTTGACACTCAAATATTGTTTTTTTTTTTTTTTTTTTTTTTAAATATTTATTGAGCAGGATTAACTTTTTCCACGCATTTGTACGAATTTTTTTGTTGGTTTATTAAATATTAAATATATTAGTGTGCTCCGACACCGAATACGTTATTTAATATATTAACTATTGTTATTGTTATTATTGATATTTTACATTGGATATTTAAATTATTTCTCTCGCATCCTTCCAGTCACTTAATAAATTAAACTTGTTATATAACTAAATATTCTCGGCTTATTATTATTCGTCTTATAATTATTCTTATTATTATTATTACTATTATTATTATTATTATTATTATTGTTAATTATAACAATTTGCAGAAGACGGTTTGTAGCAAGTGGAGCTATACTGTAAAATACTAAAGAAACTGTTATCGATATCTTATCTCACAGAGAAAAAATAGTAATTATTAATTTTAATTTACAAGATAATACATGTGAAAAAAAAAAATAAAACGCAGCGTTTGTTTAAAATGGTAATTAAGAGAGTTTCAAGGGCTGGACGCGATGAGTTTTAAGTAATCCTTTTCTTTGTCGTCAGCTCATTTCTTCTCGGGCAATTGTCGCTTGCGTCCCATGTTGCAGATCTTGAAATGACATAGAGCCATATCTAGAAATAATTAAACAATTGTTATTTATTTATTTATTTTTTAATGATTTTAGCGAATTAATATTATTTTTTAGTACAAAAATAATTAGAGAGTAGTAGCGGAATTTATTTGTATTAAATAATATTTGTTAATAGTTAACAAATCATTTATTAGAGACCACTTTTTAGTATTAAACAAATATTTCTTAGTATTTAAAATAATTTATTTTCATTTAATAAATCTGATATTTATTTATTAAATACTAGCAGTTATTCATCCCGGATTTGTATGGATATTTAACAAAAATATGAAAATATAACATAGCCTATGTCACTCGGGGATAGTGTAGCTTCCCAACAGTCAAAGAATTTTTCAAATCGCCACTGATAGAAGGATTTGTTTGTATTTAATAAATCAATTTATTAAAATCTTTTTCAGATATTTTTTTGGGTGGAAAAAATATTTTTTTACTATTAACAATATTCGTTAGTATTAACTAAATCAATTTTTTATGAGAACAAAATTTTTGTAATAATTAAGAAGCTTTTGTCTATTGAAAAAAGTATTTATTTCCACCAAATAAGATTTGTTAAAATCTTTTTAAATACAAAAAAATCCTTCTATCAGTGCGGTTCAGTAGTTTCGGAGCCTATTCAATGCAAACAAACAAACAATCAAATCTATCCTCTTTATAATATTAGTATAGATTAATAAATCTTTTTAAAAACTAAGAAATATTTGTTAAGGACTAAAAAATGACTTCTAATAAATGATTTGTTAAATATTAAATGTTATTGCAATTATAATAAAAAATTACAAAATGATTATTGTAAATTAATTTTTTAATTTTAATATAATTATTATTACTGCATTTATTTAAAGTCCGAAAATTTTATTGTGAAAAAAAAATTCAATTTATTTAATCAATTTTAAGCAGTAGAATAAAATATAAACTTTTAATCGTGTCAGTATGTCGAGCATAAGGTCGCGTGTTCGAATCCAGGATACGGGATCTTAATTTCAATCTTAAAAAAATAAGCTTATAAATATTCAATTGTAACAAAAAAATAATTCGATAATTAACATTTATGTAAAAAATTTAATAAATTAGTTATTTATTTTTATTTAAAAAAATTAATTGATACGATAAAAATTTTCTATTATCATTATTATTGTGTTAAATTTAAAAACACATAAAAAAATGAACTAGTGTCGTTGACAAAGACTATAATGACAATTGATCCGGTTGGCGCCAATCTTAAATGAAACTGCGCCATCGATTATCAAGAACGTTCCCGATAAAATGACTCGGACTTAATCATTAACATATGTATGTATGTATGTATGTAAGGAGTAAAGTGGTTTTATAAATACGTGTGACGTCCAAGAGTCGCGTACGTTTTAACAGAGCGGGCTCGTAGAGTCAAGTGCCACAATTAATAACAATCTCAAGATCCTGTCACGATAAATATTACCCGTGGCAAGTGGTCCAATGCACAATATCATTACCATTACCATTACCATTATCATTGAATCCCACCCGGGAGACCAATTGCCACGTGCACTTTTATAATCCCCATTTAATTCCGATAAATATTTAATAATACGGGTAATTGCGCTCACTGAATATTAATCTAGCAATTAACTCCGCGAAAGTCCAAAATTAAGTGAATATTTAACAATTATCGGACTAGATGTCAGAAATTAGGTATCATTAATTAACCAAGCCATCAAAAATTAACCGTCCGATAATTTTCCTTCCCTTTCTCCGGTGAATTATTTAGTTTTCACTTTGTTACAAGTTATAAATTATTATTGATAATTTTTAATTAATATAATTTCGACTTACAGCTGGTCCTTTTGCCCGAGTGCGTTGGTCCTGGGTTCACTCGCGGTTCGGGAACCGGCAGAGCTTCAGGGTCTTCGCTCAAAAATTCCGGCGGTATCGGGTAATGAGGTACTCGCTGATTTCGGGCGTTGGCTTCCAGCATCGCCTGAATTTCCAGCTGAGCATCTGACAGTTCACGTTCGTCTTCAGATATTTCGAGTTTTATGTCGTGGATTTGTTTCAACTTTTGTAGCCATACCTGGAATATTCAATCAGAAATTTATAAATTAATCACCTTTTTTGCGATACTCAAATCAGCATCTGATTCGTTTTTTTAATTGTAAAAATTTTTTTTCAAATTCAACATTTGGAATTTAAAAAAAAATCTTTTTTCAAAGTAATTTAGTCAAAAATTGTTAGACGTCAATTTCATTATAATATTTGTAGAATTAATTTTTTTTTCAATGTGAATTTTCGGTAAAAATAATTTAAACTTAATTATTTTTTATAAATACTTACATAATTTTCTGTATCGTCAGGAAAAGGATCGGAATAAACCATTCCAGGTTCAGGCACGGGCGCTGCCCAGACTGTTTCGAGCGCCGCGATGCTAAATAACAAAATTCCCAAAAACCGCCAGCACGATTTCCCTCTACTCTGCTTCATTATTTGGAAGATCATAAATTCTGGAACAAAAAAAAATTTTATTTATTTTTATTACCATTATATACTGAAAATAAAGAGCCGTATTAGAAATTAATTTTAAATTCGCGAGAAACAGCCCGTCGGCAGTTCAGGCATCGAACCCACTTGTTGCTTCGCTGACTTTAAAACAATTTACATTAGTCACTTTAGATTGTTTATCATTTCATAATCAGTTTGTTTTTATTGTTACTTCAAAAAAAAAAAAAAAACTTTCTCTTAAAATTAATTAAAGTTTTTTTTTAATTTTTCAGAATTTCACCTTATTTTTTTAATTAATTTTAAATAAATAATTTCAATAGATGAATAATTAGGGAAAAAAAAAAAATAAAAATATATGCTGCTAGAAAATTTATAATAACATATGTGAAAATTTTCTTCAATAATTTACTTGAAAGAAATCATTTTTTTTACGTATTTTATGCATATTTGCCATACAATTATTTTTGGCTAATTTTCAATCATTATATTATGTTCAAAAAAATAATGAACAAGTCGTACGTTAAAAAACAATTTATAAAAAATCTTTCCAAGATATTTTTACAATAGTTAACGCGGGAAAAAATTTTTTAAACTTATCGAGCACCTACTTCTTATTAAATAATTATTGGCTAATTTTTAATCACAAAATTTTGATTAAAAACCAAAGTTATTAACAAACACAGTTTAAAAATCAATATATAAAAATTATTAAAAAAAAAAGATTTTTTTTATAACATAATTTGTTTGTAACTTACGCCTCTTAATTTCACTATTATTAACTACTATACATCTTACAATTTTTTAAAATTCCTTTACCACAAATAAATTACTATAAAAAAATTCACATTTAAAAAAATTAAAAAATTTATCGAAGCAAATATTCATATAATTTTCCCGTACAATAAAAACCGAAAAACTTATTGGATGTCGGTAATTTCAGTACGATATCTCACCTCTTTAAAATTGATATATGACCTTTATAGCTAATAATAATAATAATAATAATAATAATAAAAAAGTAAAAAATCGATAAAGAAAATGTATCACTGGCTGTGAAAATAACAGATTAGGACCAGCGATCTTCGGATTTTCAGCACTTTTATTTATTTATTGGGTACGCTTTGAAATGCGAGGATGAATTTTCGTCGAGTGAAGCGCTTGGGGCTTTTGCACCCTCTATTATACCTCTCAGATCCGACCACCACCACCACCACCACCAGCATCACCATCGGCATTATCATCGCTGGGAGATTGGTGCCCCCCCTGCCACCTGTGGAAGGACCAAACGCGGATGTAGGGAAAATGTAGACTGAGACAGAGATAGCGAGAGAGATATCAGCCCACGCGCATCCATTCTATTTCTCATTCATTCTATTGACATCTAGGATCACAACATAACATGACGAGTCTTACATTTTCGACATACATATGTTATCTATTAAACATTTTATTTTATTTCACTTCAATTAATCATCGCTGATCGCTCTCACTGTAGCATCGCTTTCAAAGATTTTTGATAAATCGACCGAGTGTGACGGAAATGAAAAGGAATTTAAAGCTCGGGTCGAGTTATACTACTTTTACACGTGTCGATAAAAATTTAACATGCCGCTAAGTATAAGTTTTCGGTGCGTCGGAGATCCGGTGACACATGTAAAAGGTACATTCTCTGCAGAAATATTCGAGGAAATCGCTTAGAAAACACATTTCATAAAGTGTTCCGAGAGGAAATTGCGCGGCGAGTAGTAGACTCTAGATATGGTCAGACTGGGCTTTTATCGACTCTACGCTTAGAAATTTACGTTTAATTCTTTCAACAGTATTTATTACTTACTATTTATTGAATAAATTAAAAAAAAAAGAAATTTAACTTACATCGAAGTTTATTGAAATTACAATAAATTATTCTTAAAAAATTTTTTGTTAAAAAATTCTAACATTAAGGTTGATTGCTGGCTTTTAGTTAGAAAAAATATTTTAAATTAAGACATTTGACATCTTTTTAAATTTTTCTTAAAATACAAATTAGTTTAAAACAAAATTTCCATACATAAAAATTCCAAAAAATTTTGAATTTTTTTCAGAAAAAATTATAAAAAAAAATTTTCTATCTAGAAATTTTAAGAAACTATCTATACAATTTTTTGAAAATATTTTTATATTCATTTTTTAAATCAGCAGACATCTGAATTTTTTTTATTTAAAAAATTAGTAAGAAATTTTTAAAATAATTTTTATTTATAAAATTTTTTATTAATTTTTTTTATAATTAATTTATTATTAAAAAAAATTTTTTTTTCAGATGTGTGTTAAGTTTAACTGACAATTTTTAATAATTTAACTAGATATTAACAATACTGAATATAACACTGGACATGAAATGAGTCTAGAGTTCGAATCTTTGCTTAGGTTGTCCCACATTATTTTCCTAGAACCTTTGCTTCCATCTAGTAAAAACTATTTCATTTAATTTATTTAAAAAATATTGATTTGTAATTAAAATTAAATCTTGATAAATTATTTAATTAATGAGCCTGGAAAAGTAATAAATTATTATAAAACGGTGCAAAATAATAATCTATCTCATTAATGTATTCACTTAAATATCAACCTGACACTAATTACATTCAGAAACTTTAATTCTAACAATTTATAACTCACCCGCGGCGCTATTTAATAATTTTGAAATGAAAATTTATTTAAGATTTTTCGGAGATGGACGAACAGGAGAGCGAAAAGCCTTTCGCCATAGAAAAGGCCAAGACCGGTCGCGCCAAGTGCAAAAAATGCAAGCTCCCAATCGACAAAGACACCGTGAGAATCGCGAAGCTGATGGCGAACCCTTTTGGAGAAGGAAAAATGAAGGCTTGGCACCACGTTACTTGTCTGTTCGAAGTATTTGCAAAGCAGCGGGCCACTACAAGAAGACTCGAAGATCCTGAAGAGGATGTCGACGGCTGGGAGCATCTCGAAAAAGAAGATAAAAAAATAGTTATCGAACATTTGGAAGAGTTTGACAAAAATGGTAATTTTTTATTTCATTTAATTAAAAAAATAACTTTTTTTTTCAACAATAATTCTGATCATCATAATAAATTCTTTTTTTTTGTTGTAAGCTCTATGAGACTACATAGAATAAAATTTTATATATATAATACATTTATGTAGTACATGAAAAAATAATCAAAGTAGCTTTTAAGGGCCTCTAAACGTCCAGATTTCATAAAAAATTAATTTTTGGAAGTTAGATTAAAAAAAACTAACAAATTCCAATTTTTTGAAGTTTTTTTTTTTTTTGATTTTGTAGAAATTAATTGAAAAATATAAAAATAAAAATAAAATTTTTAACTTTTCTTAAAAAAAAATCAAAAACTTTAAAAAATTAGGCTGTAATAGTGTTTTCAGTTCAATTTTTGAGTTCCAAAAAATGATTAAAATAAATTATAATAATATATAAAATATATCAACATGTGCTGAGTCCGCACGGACAGGAATTGTAAAATTTATTTTGTAAATATTTATGTATAGGTTCAAAGGATATATTTAGTTCAACGTTTTGTTCTTTTAACTTAAAAGAAGGAAACGCTTTACAAAAATAAAATAAATTATTAAATAACAACTTGGAAGTTCAAATATATATCCTGTGAACTCATTAATAAGTTTTAAAAAAATGAACATGAATGATATAATGCATTGAATTAACTAAAAGAATTTTTTTTAATATTCTTTGAACTTGATAAAAATTTTCCAAAGTCTAAATCTATAAAAAAAATGCATAAAAATTTTTTTCAAAATTAAATAAAAATCTTTGAGCTATATTAAAATAGTTTCTCAAAAATTGCAATTTTGAATCACGAAAAAAAATATCTTGAACCAAAAAAATATTTAGAAAAACTAAAAATTTAACAAATAAAAAATCTCTTAGTAAATATTTTTCCGACTAATTACAGCGCCTTTTAAGAAAAAAAGGTCTTCTAGTCCGGCAAAAAACCCACCAGCCAAGAAACGAAAATCTTCACCTCCACCAGCTGCAAAAGAATCACCAGAAAAACCGAGCCTGAAAAATCAAGACTCGATTAAAAAAACTACGACTGAATATGATAAGAAAAGTGAAAATCGGGATAACGCTTTTCGCGAGTACCGACGGGTTTGCGCGAACATCGCAAATGCAAGTGCGTACACCGAAAAAACAGCGATTGTTAAGAAAATGTTTTCCGATGGCGCCAAGGGCAGTAAGTTTAAAAAATAACAATATTTTTATTTACAAAAAAAAAAAGTATTTAATTAAGTATAAGATAATTACCGTGATTTATGTTTCAATTGAAAAAAGTCCAAACAAACGTTTATCCGAAAAAAACCAGTTCTTGAATAATAATAATTTTATTTTATTGTTTTTCAATAACAGTCACTTGTTGTTGATAAAAAGTATCAATAAAAACAATTAAAAAAATAACAATCACCACTAAGTCATGTCCACAGTTATGAATCAAGTATTAAACGCCAATCAAAGTAAGAAGAAAAAGCGCGAACACCAAATTTAAAAATTTAAGATTTTTTATTTGTAATTACTGATTATTGATTTAAATTTTAAGTAATTAATTATTATTATTATTATTATTATTATTATTTGTTACTGGAGTATAATTAGTGATAATAATTATTGAGATAATAGTTGGTGTAGGGTCACTGTATTTACTGTTTTGCGAGTATTGGCCCACCAAGTGGATCGCATTCACTTATAAGCATGTCATCCCCACTCGTTGGTTTATTTATCGGTCATAGAATGCGAGTAGTGTCGACGAGCCCCTTCATAATGTGTAAAACGTTGATATTAGTTATATGTACAATACAAACAATATTATAGACAGCCAGCTTGGCACCGCACTATCCCTCCTCTTTCACCTATATCGTTTCCCGCGCTTATCATCGAGTATTTCATTCCATTTTTCCATTCAGATCGAGATTTAAGAGCTAACGAAAGATTTCGCTGAGATATTGCAAATTGTTTTTAAGCTTGGCTCGGAAAAGGAGTAAAAGGAGATTATATTAAATTTATTATTCACTATATTGAGCTAACTCATTTTGTTAATTACTAATCTGGAGTCGGTTCCGACTCATTATCAGTTCTGACGTAATAAAGAAAAAAAGAGTATGGTTGTCGACAGTTAACATGAGAGTCAGTGTCCAAAATTTATTCCCAAAGATATTTTTAGAACTGCGTCAGTTTTTGGCGGGCTATTTTTATACTTTTGTATCATAGTGATTAAATTTAATTGGAATATAATTAAATTTGCTATGATTTTTAGATTGATTTTACGATTGGTGTTTGATTTTTCGCAGAAATATTTGACTTTTTTTTTTAACATAAAATTAACCTCAGTATCAATTTTTAACAAATATAAATAATGCTGTGAAGCGGGAAAGAATAGGAGTTACGGATAATTTTTATAGCTTGAAGAAAAACTTAAAATTGTTTGATAAAGAATGAAACGAGAAAATTGGAATTTTTGAGTGAAGAAAAAGTTTTTTGAGCCAAAAAAATTTTTTAATCTCATGGAAATTTTTTTTACTGTAAAAAATAATTAAATGAAAAATTTTTTTATTATTTTTTAAAATCATTCAAATTGCGGCTCTACTTATTTTTGGCCATAAAAAATTGAACAATGAGGTAAATAATAAAAACATATTTTTTTGACCCATTTCAAAATGTTAATTGATGAATTTTTAAAAACTGCATCTAAAAATTTGATCTAAAACTGTAATTTCTCCAGTTTTGCATTTTTTCATACCCAAACTATTGGCTGCCCAATTTTAAAACACTAACTGAAGTAATTAAATAAAGTAACTAACATTTCAAAATTTTTTTCAATTTTTCTTATTAAAAAAAAAGTTTGCCCGCCAAATTGATGAAAAATTTGATTTTTGAATAGAAAATACTTGAATATAAATATTTTTAAGAAAAAATACTTGAAATTGTGGCCTAAAAGTTATAAAAAATGCAGCAATACTAGAAAAAAAAAGTCAGGTATAAAAATTTTGCAGTTACTGTGTTTTAAAATTGGGCAGTCGCAATATACTTGTGTGAAATATTTAAAACTCAATTATAAATCAAAAATAATTATCAAAAAATCGCAATTCTAAAGAAGTTGAAAAATGAATTTCTTCTTTTTCAAAACCAATTATCATAAATAACAGAAACAATAAAAACAAAAATACTATAGTAAATACTATTAAATAAACATTGAGTGATGGTGAGTAAAAAATGTTAAATGAAGTAACGTCTAAAAAAAGAAAATAAACATTTGATATCATAGAGAAGACGTTACTCATAACCTCAGAAGTTGCCCTCGTGTAAGCCGTACATACACGAGTGTGTGTTATATATTTTCCTTGGGAATTCAATATTTATCATTGACTTGCGTGCAGAGCCAGAGCAAAGGCAGAACCTTGACCTCATGGGCATCGCATCCGAATGTAACGTGAATGATGGTGATGATGATGAAGTCACCTCCTCTTTTGCAGTATTGCTCCTATTATATACATATATAATTATTCATATTTATTTACAGTACAACCGAAGCATCTTGTCTTAAATATTGATACTGAATTAATTCAACACAACATAAACAATGAGTACACTTGTTGAAAGTTTCAATCCATTCAGCGATACGGTTTAACTTTTATTTACTGTTTTTTTATGTCTGGGATTTCGTTATACTTTCATGTTTGTAATGTCGTAGTAAATGAGCTTGTAATTTAATGCGTCATCGGCGATCAGCCATTAGAATTCAATAGAACGTAGAGTAGAGTAGTATTCATTTAATAGTTTTAATTTATATCAGTGAACATGCCATCGCTCTATCCGCTCGTTATCGACCTTTTCTTCCTCGAACTCTCTTGCTCATTTCTATTCTAATTTTTTACTTCCTTTTATTTACACTTTTTACAATTACATTTTGTGTATTACACACGAATCGAGAAATTATTTCATTTCTTCGCTTTAATTCCAATTATCAATTGTTATCAAATAAATTTTTTTCAATAAACTTTTCATTAATAATTTAAGTCTTTATCGGTTATCAAAAAGTGTTTGACCTGAGCTGATAGAAAATTTTTATTGTATGACAGCATATTTTTTATTGGAAAATCTTTTTAATTAATTGGATCATTTTTTTTTTTATAATTGAAGTTTTTAGTACACAAAAAAAAATTCGTTTTAAAAAAAATTTTAAGGTTCAAAATTTGAAATTAAATTTTTATTTGAAGCAAAAAATTTTTAAATTATACCAAAATAATTTTTACCAACACTGCAAACGCATTGTATTACAATAAAAAATAATTTAATTGAAAAAAATCAAATTATAAATTTTTTAGTTAAAAATTCAACTTTTGATTTTTAATTCAAAATTTGCAACTTCATTATCGATCAAAGTAAATTTTTTTAAATTAAAAAATTTATTTTGCATCTGATATAAAAAATTTTCTTGTGAGATTTTTTAAAAAATGATCAAGTATTACAAAAAATTTCAATCTCGATTAATTCAATTAATATAAAATTTCTTAATTAAAAATTAAATTTTTGTTAAAGCTACAAATAAAATTTTTTTATCGTGAAACAAAAATTCAAAGCTTGATTCCCGATTAATTAAAAAAGAGTTTGTTTGATTAATAGTTGCAGTGGCCTTTCACAAATATGAACAATATATTAATATGCGCTAAACAAAATACAATAACAAGTAATGTAACATTATATCGAATGAAAGCGAACGCTGCCACGCAGTCTGTCGAGTTATCGTGACAATAAATATGCATCCAATATATCTCACGTACGCTTAATTTATTCGCGCTTCTGAATGTCATTACTAATAATAATAAATATAACATCTCAGTTATTTCGATTTATTTTTTTTTTTTAATATTTATCTGTCATGCAGAGATACCGAGTGTGTCTACAGGCCAAAAATCACGTTTAACCAGCCACCCGCGATATAGAGCTCAATAAATTTAAATATAACTTTGACAGCATGACTAATCATTGATGGTTAGTGATTATAATGAGCGGCCAAAACTATTGCGCAATCTTATTAATTTATTCCTTTAAAATTATTAAATAGATTGCATCAGAAAAAATCGTTCACGTGACAACATCGACAGTCCTATTTTTTTTTTTTATTTTTTTAACACAACAAAAGTAAAAAGTTCTTAAAAATAAAATGATATTAAGGAAATTATGTATGATTTATTTGTAAAAAATTGAAGAAAATGAACGAGAGAGAATTTAAATTATTTTTAATACTTTGATTTATGCAAAAAAAAGTTGAATTTTAACGAAGAAAAATTCTTAGTTCAAACTTTTTTTATTAACGTAAAAAAAATTGTTTTTTTTTTTTAAATTAAGGGTGTATTTTATATAATAAAAAAATTTCAAATGATTTAATTTATTTACTTCAAATTAGGTCTCTTAATATACAGTATAATAAAAATTAATCAAATTGAATATTTTTATTATGATCGGTTTTTTCTTGGAGATTATTTTACAAAAGGCGTCATTTAATCAGCCAATTATTAAATCCCAATTATCAATTTTTGGGCGGACAGAGTGTCGTCTGATTTACTTTGAGCAATAAATTGTAAGAAGAAATTTAAACGACGAACGAATGGAAGCAAAAAAAAACAGTAATGAGGCTACTCGTAAATGTTTTTGTTATTCAACAACTTTTCACAACAATATTTATTCATTATTTTTTAGTGATTCACGCATGCGTGATGATCTTAAAAGACATTCGATGAATTAGTGACACGCTCCAATTCTCTTAAATACGTATCCAATAAAGTGTTTTGTTTTTGACTTTTTTCAATCTACGCAATTTTTTATTTCTTACACTAATTTAACCAATTTATTAAATGCGCAGTTTTATTGTCTCGTTATTTACGATTCAAATGCGAATTAACGGCTCGCTGGTGTGCAAAAGTCGATCGTATAATTATAATTGTAAACTTTCGGAGATCCCTGATAAAAAAAAACTTATTTGTATTATCACTCGCTCAGATATATTGCTTATTATCGTTACTCATTTTTTAAAAATAACATCATCTAAAACTTCGCTTTTAGAAAAAAAAAATTAATAAATAAATAAATGATTAAAATAAGAAGAAAAAAGGTTAATCATGGCAATCAATTAAAAACTTGAAGCGAGAATTAAGATAATCCGAAAAACTTCGACCCCTCTAATCACATTATTATATTGAAGAAAGATATACCCGGCACTGCGGTTGGTACATCCGCTTCTCGGCAGTGTCATTCAAGCATTATGGCGCTTAGTCGGGTCATTTATCCGAAAAATAATCCTCGAGATTTTTTAATTTTAGAGGAACTATCTCTTTGCAATTATTTGTAATAATTATATTGATATTGATATTTACGTTTTTGAGAAAAAATTACATCGATGGCAATGCTTGATGTTGACATTTAATCGCTATCAAACGATAATTGATTAGTGTTTATTTATTACGAGGATGGTATTTAAAGCGATGATACAATCGCGGACGCTACTAGAATTTTCATTTTAATTATAAATTCGAGGCAACTTTGAATTATTTATTTTTATAGTAGCGTGCGTCGATAGATTGTTTACATATTTGATAAAGAAAAAAGACGTGAGAAATTTAAATTTCGTTAGTTAAACAATGCAAGGAAAAGTTGTCATTTTTATTGCACACTAATTAAAAAATTAATATGATTTAAGAGAAATAATTTTGAGCGAAGAAAATTATTTTAAAAAATTTTTACGTCTGGAAAAAAACAGAAAATTTTTTTAATTAGGGTTTTTTTTGCTACTTAATTCAATTAGAAATTTTTTATTATAATTTTCTTGGTTCCAAATTCTTTTTCTTTAATTAAATTAATTTTTCAATCATAATTTCAAATTTTAAATTATGTTTTATTATTAATTAAATGGTATTAATGATTAATAAAAAATTAACAAATCAAAAAAAAGTAAAAAATTTTTATCTATCATATTTCTTCATTTTTTCTCTTGAAAAAAATTTTATTTGTTTCAAAACAAAAGAAATTATTAACTTGAAAAAATTTTTTCACAAATTGTTGGCCATTAGCTACTTTTAGTAATTAAAAAAAAAAAAAATAAAAGTAGTTATTATGAAAATAAATCTACTATACTGTATTTATTGAAACCGTTTTAAAAATTCATGGCCAATTAACACTCGTTCAATGATTGTTTTCGTAATATCTATATTATTCCTTGAAAGCTACTTGAACAAAATAAAAAAGAAAATTTTTAGCAATGTAAATGTTTATTGTCCCGCTTATCACCCGGTAATTTTCCAAGCGATGTGTGATGAGTGATATTACCCGCGACCTTTCACACCACGAGCGTACATGTACTTTGGCGCAACATATCATCTCACTCAGTCGTTAGCGACTCGGATAATCCAAGAAATCGCGTGCCAGGATATTACATAGTATTACTTATATGCATGTGTGCTTGACTTTTCATTCGCGCGAATAACTCGCGGGTGGGGGATCGATTACTGTGTCGCACAAATATTATTCCAATGCACTCTACTAACTTGACTTCTATAAAAACGCGATAAATCGGTGACAACGTTTCCTATATCTACTACAAACACAATTAAATTAAATTAAATAGTTTAAGTAACAAACAACGTCAATAATACCGAGAAATAAGTTCAACTATTTTCCGTTCTCAATCAGTGCCATTTAATATAAAAATAATAATAATAATAATAATAATAATAATTATTGCACTATCAAAATTACTGTTGAAGATGGCTTCAAAGGTGACGTCGTTCTGTGGTGCAAAATGCTCCTTCCTATGGCGAACAAGAAAATCTACAACCTCCAGAGCAAAGCGCTGATAAAACTCTTCGCCAGGATCTTACAAGAAGATGAGCAAGATATGTTGGAAGATTTGGAACAGGGTGACGTCGCGGAAACTATCCAAAAATTCTTTGATAAAAATGACGTCGTAAAGGCAAACGCTAAAAGTCTTCTCAGTTTACAGGAGGTAAAAACAAAAATTATATATCCTACATCCGGCTTTCGTTATTACTGAATAAAAATTGAGCTGTAGCAATTGACATTTTTTTGAAATTTTTTTACTCTGAAAAATTTTTTGTTAATTACACTGCTAAAAAAATAAACTTGATTCAAGAGAATAAATTTGGAACCAAGAATATTTTCTTGATTCTAGAAAAGTTTATTCAAACGATGAACAATCTTTTAGTTAAAAAAAGACGCCATTCGGCCATACCCGAAATGGAATACGAATTCTCGACAGAATAATATTCATAAGTCGGCTGCACTACACATTGCCTGAAAATGGTTCAGTCGAACTCTTAACTTTGATAAAATAACTAAAAATGGTCAAAATGTCAATGTTATATATGTCAAATTTAAAGGCAATTTCATGAGCTTTTACATGAATTCATCAAAAATTAGCCATCTCTTTTCAACCAAAACTTACACATTAATGAAGTCACCAAAAACGTGATTTTCACTATTTTGATAATTTTGAAGAGCTGCCATTTCTAAACTTATCGATGGATTTCGCTCATCTTTGAACTCATTCAAGGTTATTATCCAAAGAATATGTGTAACAAATTTCATCTAGATCCGTCAAGAACTGTAGACACAATCGCGGCAACATCCCGCGTTATATATATATATATATATATACATATATAAATTTTTTAACTAACGTTATTTTTGACCTTTACTCGACTAGTTAAGTGATATTACAACAAAATTCCGAGTAAATTAAGACATGAGGACCAATGCAAAAGATTGATTTCTATGAAATCTACCTAAAAATTATTTATTAGTATGTATAAGTGGACACTGTTATGCATTAATGTGTTAAGTGCTATGGAAATCCTATGTACTTAACACACTATTGCATAACAAAGTCCAAGTATACATTAGATTATTACAAAAGTTACTTAAAATTATATTAAATACAAAATATAGATAAGAGGCTACTTTAATATATTCAGTCGAATAATTTATTGTAATATTTGGATATAAATTTTGGTTTATAGTTATGAATTTTTAAATATTGAGATTTTTGAATTATTTGGTATACTAAAACTGAGATTTATTAATATGATTTAGATAATAGAATTTGGTTAATAAAATGTAAACATTGAGATTTAAACAAGGCCAATTATAAAAAGAATACGCTTTTAAAGCCCTTGAGTTAGAATGATTTAATTAAAATACATATATTGCACAGGTAAGGTAGAGACGTCAAATTAACAATTATGTTAGAAATCATTAGATAATAAGTACTCAAACATGTTCTTTTCAAAAATTGTTTACTTGATTCAAGACAATCAGACTCTTAAAAATGATCTTGGTTAAAGAATGTTCTATCATTGATCAATTTTATTTTTCTGTGGGTGTATTATTTATTACAGGAGTTTATTTCTGGAGATAAAAATTTTTTTTGTAAAATTTTAATGCGAAAGTTTTAAATTGAAATTATGGACTAAAGAATGATGATAATAAAATTAAGTTCAAGAATTCATTCTATTCTTGGTTTTTACATTCTTAGATCAAAATTTTTGTATCTTCTATCGATAACTCTTACCACTCTATTCAAAAGTTACCTTCAATCGTTAAGATCAAATTCTTTAACTAAGAAAAAAATTATTTTAACTAACAATAATTTTGTTTCTATTTTTAAGAACTATATACATAAATTTTAAGCAGTTTTTTTTTATTCAAACAATTTTTCCTTTCAGTTTAATACGCACAGACAATAATCATCTTTTTAATTACTTATCCAAAGGTCAAATTTAAATTGAAAGTTGTTGATTAACCGGTTGCATAAATTGAAGGTAAATAGAGCTTATGAGAAAAAAATGAAAGCTATTGAAGCGGAGGAAAAATCTTCAGTGTTTGATATCCGAGGAATGAAGGTCGATGCTAATGTTTTACTTGCGGATGAGAAAATCTCACCAACTGTTTGCAAATACCTTTTTCGTTCTAGTTCAATCAATCCGACTCATGTGCAATCAATTCTTCGGTATAGTAATTTATACGTCCATATATGTATAATGTATATTGATAGCCATGTATACAATCTAAGATAAATATTGAACGGCCGAATTTTTGTTAAGAAAACTGGGGTCAGAAAAATAAATCTTTTTAAAATTCATGTGGACATTTTCGTAATTAAATTATTTAATTAATTAATTTAGTGTCCCCTAGTAATTAAATCGTTTGCGTAGGTCGAGGATTTCCTGAGCCGCCTTTCTGATTTGACAAAAGAAGATGACCAAATATCACACTTTAAATCCATCTTGCCAAAGTAAAAATTTTTTTTTTTTACATTCGCTATCTCAATCTTGAATATAAAAAAGAAGAGCTGATTTAAATTGTGTAATAATTTTAGATGCACTCCTAATGACTTGAAAATGATAATAAGGCTTATCAAGCGCGATTTGCGAATCAATTGTGGACCCAAGCATATGTAAGTTATTTGCTGGCACACGATAAATTCAGACTACTTAATCATTTTGTATTATTTTTTTTTTTTTTTTTTTTTTTTTTTTTAGTTTGGAAGCGGTCGGCTCGGAAGCTTACAAAGCTTATCAAGTTTCTAATGATTTAGAAGCTGTAGTCAGGAGATTTGTAAACAAAACAGGGAGCAAAAATTCAACAGAGTCTAGTTCTGTGAAAAGTAAAGTTTCGTTAGCTTTGATGACTCCTGTTTTGCCGATGCTGGTGAGTTGTGAAGCTATGTTTACATTCAAAAGAGAAAATTTCGGCTATTCCAGAATGTTGCAGAATTTTTTTTTTTTTTCGTATATTGGTGCTATTTTTATTATTTTAATTAAGTAAAAAATTTGATGTTTTTTTCTTACAAATAGTCGTGTTAATATATCTTCTTTGTCAAAATCAATTTTTTATCATGGTTTTGAAATGGAGCTGCTGATTTTTAGTTATGATACTTCAGTTTTTAAAATGAATTCAAGTTTTTCATCGAAAAAAAAAATTATTCCAGTTGTTTTATTTGAAGAATTTTTATTTAAAAATAATTGTTATTTACAGTAGATTTTTCTAATTTTAAATCATATGATTACTTCATAAAGTTACAAAGTAAAATTTTAAATCAAGAAAAAATTTATTTTTAAATTGCTAGAAAAGAGATGTAGGTTTCTTCAATTGAAAAACTTTGATATAAAATGATAATAGTTTTTTTCTTGGCTCATAAATATATTTTTTTTTATAAAAGAAAAATTATAAATCAGTGAAGAAAAAGAAAAAAAATATTTTTTCTGCCCTCCGGCCGAAAAGTGGCAACTTTCTGGCCGCTGCGCTAAACAAAGTTGCCACATTCCGGCTACGTCGAGCAGAAAAATAGTATACACACCTTGGCCAGTAAAAAGTAAAGCCTCAGATCACATAATTGTCCACCTCGGCTTCGCCTCGGCCAACAATTACATGTGATCTGAGACTTTTCTTATTTTACTGGCCTAGGTATGTAATATACTATCTATTACACGGAAAAAAATTTTCTTTGAATACAAAAAGTTAAAAAGTTTACGAATACAAATTTTCAATAAAAATTACCATGAAGAATTTTATAAATTATTTCAGCTACCGACAAATGGTAAGACTGTTCTAAATGTTCGACATTATAGAGATTAAAATAATAATTTTTATTTAAAAAGTTGTATTTTCGAGATAAATTTGATCTTTCTAAATAAAGAATTTTAATAATCGGAGTTTTACTTTATTTTCTTGATTAAATAATATTTATATTTAAATCACAGATAACTTTGTTCTTAGGTCACAAAATTATCAGAATTTATGAAAACATAATAGATAATTTATTTGTGAGAGTTAATAATGAAATTTTTTTTTCAGGCAGAAGCTTGTACCTCAGTAGAAATGGCGATGAAAAAATGTCCAAACGGAATGCTGTCCGAAATAAAGTACGACGGAGAAAGAGTTCAAGTCCACAAACGTGGAACCGAATTCCGTTATTTCAGTAGATCACTAAAACCAGTTTTACCTCACAAGGTTAGATGTGTAAAAACACTCCCTTAATAATTAAAACAATTAATAATTGCAAATAGCCAGCCAGTTATCAAGAATAAAATAAAAAAGTTAATACTTATTAGACTTTGTTTCATTGGCGCGGAGAAAATGGGGAAAAGTTTGTTTCTTTTTGCTCGTGCGTGACTAATTAATTTTTTATTTACCCCATATGTAAACGAAACTTCATCAAGATTAATATAATACCTCTGGGCATTGCAAGATCCCCTTACGCCCACTAGAGCAAATTCAATTTACATAATCACACACGAGATATTTATTTGAATTAATAGCTTGAATTCTTTATTTTTACTTGACAATAAAAAAAATAAAAAAAAATTGCAAGTAAATTGAAAATAATTTTAAAGGAAAAAATTTTATTCAATCAACGTTTAATCAATGTAATAATAATAATAAACAGACAGCCGAGCGCGAGTGTAATTGTGATATGGAAAACTTTTAAGCCGACAATTGTTTTGACTTTGAACTCATAAAACCAATAACAATTTTAGTATCTTATATCTGGTGCATTACGATGCATCATTAATAATAAGTATGCTTATTTTCAGGTCAATCACTTCAAAGAGTACATACCCAAGGCCTTTCCGGACGGCGATGACTTAATTTTGGACTGCGAAATACTGATGATAGACACTAAAACCGGGCAACCACTGCCGTTTGGTACGTTGGGAGTCCACAAGGTATTTAATCTATTGATTAAATAATTATTTATTATTAATTTCATTAATTAATATAAAACATGTATATACTTATTATCAGAAAGCTGAGTTTAAGGATGCAAATGTTTGCATATTCATCTTCGATTGCATTTATTACAACGGTGAAGTGCTGATGAATAAGTAAGTGGATTATAAAATAAAATTTTTATGTAAACGTCTGCCAAATATTTAATGGATGCTAATTAATTGTGAATATTTTAATGCTGCAAGGACAATGAAGGAGAGACGGAAAATTTTGACGCTGAGAATGACAACAATACCCAACCGAGTTATGCTTTCAGAAGTTCAACAAGTTCATGTAACGTTAAATATTTTTTTTTATTTATTATAAATGCTATTTTTTTGTTTCTATACGGAAATGTTATATTATAACCGTATTAGAATAATTAAATCGAAAAACAAAGGGCTTAATAGAATTTATTTAAAAGTTAGGTTAAATTTGAGCTTCTTATCTGCCATTTTGAATCATCCTCTTCATCTCAATTTTTTTATTATCTAATTTAATTATATTTCTAATCAATCTGAACTGTAATTAATTTATTTTTAATCTGTAGATTGGCAAAATTTTAAAGGTATTTTATTTTTATTCAATAATTTTAGTTAGTTATGAAATTGTAATGATGTAATACGGTTATAATATAAACTGAAGCTGTCTTTGTTGCTGAACTAGCCACCAGAGCCGCGCGACAATCTTAGGAACAAATGGCAAAAAATCGAAACACAATTCATAACCCTTGAAGAGTAATAGTATAATAATTGGCATGTTAGAAATTTGTTTTATTACAGAAGAAATATTTTACTGTTAAATTTTTTTTCTTCTCTTAGCTTTTTCTACAAATTGTAATTTTTTAATACAATTAATGAAGACAAAGAATATATAAAAATTTAATTATAAATAGTTCAATAATAAAACTATTATGCATTTTATTTATTTATTGGTAATTCTTGCAGGATCCGAAAGACTTGGCAGAAATGATTGCAAAGGTTCTAAAAATGAGATTAGAAGGATTGGTTCTCAAGGACATGAATGTAATAATAATGAACAATAATTAATAATTAATGAGGATTAATGATTCTCACGAAGAAGAAATATTCAGTAGATTGATTGTAATAATAAAATTTTGCTTAGAGTTTGTACGAACCAGGGAAGCGACATTGGCTGAAGATAAAAAAGGACTATTTGCTGGGAGGAGCAATGGCCGATAGCGCAGATCTCGTCGTTCTTGGTGCTTGGTACGGAACAGGGAATAAGGGTGGAATGAAATCTATTTTTCTCATGGGTTGCTATGATGAGGACCGCGATAAGTGGCTGACAGTAACCAAAGTCCATTCGGGACACGATGATGATACTTTAGCCAAACTGCAGGACCAGTTGGAAATGGTTAAGATTGGAAAAGACCCTAATTTGGTTCCCGGTTGGTTACGAGCTAACAAGCCCATGATTCCTGATTTTGTTGCCAAGGATCCTAAGGTAGTCATTTTTTTTTCTTTCACGAAAGAAGAAAGGCCGTTTGGCATTTGGAACTGAAGTAGATTTTTTAATGCTGGATTTGAAAGTTATTCGTACAGTCAGCTTCATATTTTCATTAAAAGTACAAAAATTAATTTAAAATAGGGAAAAAATGTAACTTTAAAAAATTACGTAAAGTAAGATGATGTTGAATTTCTTGAGAAAATTTTTTTTTAACTACAATTTTATTTGTAAATTAAATTTTTAGAAACAACCTGTTTGGGAAATAACAGGAGCCGAATTTACAAACCAAGGTGTCCACACTGCTGACGGTATAAGTATCAGATTTCCTCGAGTAACTCGAATACGTGACGACAAGGACTGGAAAACGGCGACTTCTATGAAGGAATTGAAGAAACTTTTCGAAAAAAGCTCGGATTCGATCGATTTCTCTTTGTTGTTGGGCAAACCTTCGACCAGTGGGCGAGGGACTGGCGACAAAGGAGGAAAAGAAGATGTAGACGATAGTAACAAAGCTGATGAGGATAATGTGACAATAAAAGGACAGGACTCGACAAATAGCGATGACGGTGATAACGATAATGATAATGATGATGAAGAAAAAAGTGACACCGCTATAAAATTGAAAGCTACTGGCCAAGACCGAAAACAAGATAATAAAACTAATAAGAGAAAACGCCCAGCTGATGTTGAGGAGGGACAAGATAGTAATAAGGAGTCTGATAATTATGTAATACCATCAATTTTAATAAAATTATTATTAATTTTTATTTATTGCCATTATACAATTGATCATGACATTTTATCATAAATTTTATGTACGAGTTATAGAAAAATTTATTTTTATTCACAGACGAGTGGATGCAGCTCAACTGGAAGCTCTTCAAAGGCCGGGATAAAGGACTCCAAATCTAAAAAAAAATACCTTGAGGATGCCGAGGAACGATTGTCCGAGGAGTGTCACACACCGGTGAGTTTTCAATTTTTACTTTTATGCTTTTTATTTACTTATGCATTTGATACATAAAATATTTCATTTATTATTTATTTTAAATTGCATATTTATTTTGATTAATGGTTTGTTTTCAGACACCAAACGGAATTTTAAAAGATACTTATATTGTCCTGAGCAATGACCTCAGTGATGATAGGCAAAAGGTCTTGTCACGAAGCTTAATTACGTATCCTTTTGTTCATAAAAAATGTTTTCTCGTCACTTAAAAACGATACACTGAAATTCTCTATCGCTAGCTTTAATACTTTTTTAATGAAGAATGTTTTGGATAGTAATTTAAAATTATCATGAGATGAATTATCCCTCCAAAAGTTACGGATGACACGCAAAATCGTGAAGCGTTCCACATTTTTCAACAAATATAAATAATGCTGTGAAGCGGGAAAGAATAGGAGTTACGGATAATTATTACGTGAAGCGTTCCAACATTCACGTAACAGGATAATTGGTAGGAAAGGGGATTGAGAAAGGATTGTGGAGAGGATCATCTTAATGTGAGTGTATAGAATATGCGAGAAAAAAATTATTAGATAGCTCGGACTGGGATTCGAACCCAGAACCTTCCGAAGACATGTCGGCTGCTCTACCATTTGAGCTATCCGGTCTATACTAAATTTCCTTTCACTTATTCTATATACATTAAGCCACACCGTCCATCTTACGGCTAGCATTTTTAACAAATATAAATAATGCTGTGAAGCGAAAAAGAATAGGAGTTACGGATAATTATTATTTGAATTATCTCTCCAAAAGTTTTTGGAGAGATAATTCAAAAATTTAATATCTACTTAATTTTTATTTTTTCAGCCCTTGAATTTTATTTAAAGTTAGCTTATATTTTTAGACTAAAAAAAAAGTTTAATTTAAATTTCTAAATGACAAATCATTTATAGTTTTTCAAATGCTATTAGTAAAGTTAAATTCTTCTCATCGGCAAATTTTTTAGTTATAGCTTGCAACAAAGTAATTTCCGCGTAAAAATGACTCTCTAGAGATTACCTAAGAAGCCAAGTGAAGCTTAATGATCATTTCTGTAAAAAGCACAACTATAGTTTCTTCATTTCAAACGTTTTATCACTTTTATAACAAGTATTTTTCTTGACCTAACCTTTTGTAACAGCTTGGGCGCAACAGTTTGCAAGGAAAGTAGTTTTGACGCAAAACAAGCAACTCACATTATTCACAGAAAAACCGAAATATCTGAAGAAGAACTGCGGGTAAGTAACCTTTCATTTAAAATTTTAAGCTGTAGTTTAAGTTATAATATAACATATAAAATATAACCAACTTTTTAATAGAAAAAAAAAAAAAAAAAAAAAATCAGATGGAACAATTGACATGAAAAGCTAAGCATTTCTGATGCAAAGAGAACATAACTACACTGAGAGAAAAAATTCATTTTGAAAAATATGGGCATTTTTAGGATAAGAAATTAATTTGTTGAAAATTTTCATCAATTTTGTTTCTTAGCTGAAGAAATCAAAATTTTTCTCACAGTAATTTACTTGTTGAAAAAAAATTTTCTTGATTTGGAAAAAAAAAAATTTTTGATGAAAATTCTCAAGTTGTCTATCTAAAATTATTTTTTTTCAAATCTAGAAAACTTTTTTTCAACAAGTAAGCTACTGTGAGAAATTAATTTCTTGTCACAAAAATGGCCATATTTTTAAAAAGAAATTTTTTCTCGATTACTGTACTAAACGCGATGACAAAGCTCGCGTTGAAACTATTTCAAAATAACCGCAAAATTGGTTCTATTGAGCGGTAATTGGTAGATATTTAATCGTCAATGTAAATTACTGTGTGATTGAGGAATTCATTGGAATTTATCGAGATAGCAATAATTGAATAACATCTTTATGAACACTGACGGATCCAAGTGGGTGATCGATAACGTAATCGCAAAAAGAGGAGACCGAGTACCGAGTGTTTGACACGTGTATGTATATAATATGCAAGCAATGTTGGCTCTAGAGCTCTGCATCGACCTCATAATCAGATTTAATCCATTTGGGCAAGTTTAATCGCGTTTGTCGTAAATGTGTTCGCGATCAAATTTCATCCTTATTACATACGATCGTTACTCCGCAAATTCATCTCTCCTCAGTACAGTTTAATTTTAGGGGTATTTAATCGATATTAGTTAAAAATAATTTATTTGATCAGAGTTAACAAATTGACTCCCACAACTTCAGATCCAATTTTCATTAAACTTTTAATTGTGTTTTTATAAACTCTATGTTGTTATTGCTTATTCTTTTTTTTTCATTATTTTTTATTGACTCTTAACTGACGGCGACGTCTAGTCCGATTTTAATCCACGTAATTTTTATCTTTTGTTATGTATTTATTGCGTGATCAGATAATTTGAAAGTTTGTCAATATTATGTATATATTTTTTTTTAAATGCAATTTATTATTTTTATTTTTATTCTTTTTGAAGAAAATTATTTATTTTAATATTTACATCATATATCAAATAATTTACTTTTAAATATATTGTAAATTATAATATTAATTTTAATTAAGTAAAAAAATTATTTTAAGTTGAAGAATTAAATTAAATTCTCAAAAAATTTCACAATTATTTTTTTTTTTTATTCAAATTATTATACTACTAATTGATAAATTATAATTTTACATTTTTTTACTTACTAATTAATGAAATTGAAAAAATCCTAGTAATTTAATGTTTATATTCAATAACATTGATACATTTCATGATAATTAATTATAATAATTAATAAAAGCTGTAATATTATCTGATTACACATTGTGTAAGTGAATTGGTCAATTAATTAGCAATTTAATTATTGTTTTAACCGTAGGTGTTAATAAATCAATAATAACATAAAAATACAAACAATTTATGATAAATGTACAGAGAGTTTCTTCTTTGGTAAAAATAAATTCTAGTTTTTTTGAGGCGTAAATTACTAACAAAAAAAATTGCCGTCAGTTAATTACTCTAAAAAAAAGTTTACAATATTTAAAATTTTTTCTACAAATAAATAATAATAAAAGAATTTAGTTCTAAAATTTTCTACAGAAAATTAAAAAAAAAATAATTTGATTATCAAAAAAAAAAAAATTATTTTTCAAGTATAAAAAAGGCCATTCGGCAGCCGAAATGGAAGTAAATTTCATGATGAATAAAATTAAAAACTACTAGGATTAAAAACAAAAAAAATAACGTTTAATGAAGAAAGAGAAGAATTATTGTACTTCAGTACTTTTCAGTCAGTTTTGTATAGACAAAACGACTGCAAGAGTAAAATTTCTTAAAAATGATCCTAAGATGAATTTTTTTTGCTTCAGAAAAAAATTTGAGCACATAAATTGAAGCTTAAATTCTCAGCTTTCAAATGCATTTTACAGAAATTGAATAACTCGACGCGTTCAAAAGTTATTTGAAGGAAAAGTAGTGAAAGTATCAAATTTTTAAAATTTCAAAATTTTGAACTGGTGTAATTTCTAAACTATATGACCGATTAAGCTCATATTTGAACTTGACCTTCCTAATAGTCGATAGAATAAGTATGTTGAGTTTCATTAAGATCCCTTAAGAATTGTTGACGCTATCGTCGTGACAAGCAGGCATATCGTATATATATATATACATATATAAACTTTCGAACCATATGTATTTTCTGACTCAGTTCGTCGAGTTAGGTCAAAATATAGCAAAATTTATGGAAATTTACGTCATGAGGACAAATACAATAGTTAGATTTTTATAAAATCTACTAAAAACCGATCATTAAAAATAATTTTTCTCTTCAATAGAGATTCAAAACAGTATCTGCGCGACATGTTACCGAGTCCTGGGTAGAATCAACGACGGCAACCTCAGTGAGGCAAGAAGAAATTAAGCACGCTGTTAATCTACGTGGAAGTTATTGTCAGTGTAAATGCCCGCACCGTAAAGAAGATTAAATTTATTGCCAGTAACTATAATGTTGTAGTTATCTACAACATTATTTATTATGCAATAAATAATAAATAATGTTTTAAAAATAATTACCAAGTAACTTTATACGGCAATTAAATAACAGGCGTCAATTATTAAGCGTTATCAACGCGCCTGACTTTTGTAACTTTGTTTTATCTGTATTGATTTTGTTCGAGCGCAATAAGTATGAATTTTAAATAATATTATTTATTATTGTATTGCGAAATCATGTTCTCGAGCTTTGAACGGTAATTCAGTAAGTGTATCTTAAATTTTATATAGACGAATGAATTTATACAAAATAAATAACAATTTAATTGAATAAAAACATACCATGTTTTCTTGTATGACAGCGGAAAAAGCTGCCGGTACCCGTAGAGTCAAAATAACTCAATCATTTTTTCCGATACAAAAGATAATTAATAGTACGCTTCTCGATTTATATTTTTATTTTTTTTTCCTGATAATTATGAACGTGAACTATTATATAAACAATAATTTATAACTTTACCCCCTCGGGTATTATCAGTGGTAGTAGTTAGTATTACTTAATCCTAATTCCCAGATCACTCAGTTTTATTATATATGTGTATATTTTATTTTAAAATCAACGTTACATAAATTCAGACCAACTTTTATCTTATACAATGTTTAAAATAAAGCTTTTTGAATTATAAATACTTTTTGTTTTATATAATAATTATAATAAGAATAATAATAATAATAATAAATATGGTATAATATCCTCCTACGTTAATTAAAATAATTTTGAAGCTGGTCCAAGTTAAACTCAGTTATAGATTGTTTATAAATAAATTATTCAGAACCAAAAAGGTAACATTCATATTCATATATTATTATATTTATATTAATATATATATTTATATTTATATAGGAAACATCAATATAATATATATAACATATATATATATTTGATTTGATTTGATAATTAAATTTGTGCCGTAAATTTAAATTTTAGCGAGGTTTAAATTTTCTAAGTCCACCGATTAATTTTCGACGGATTACAGAACTACATCTAGGAGGTAGAGTGAATAAGACAAATATATTAATCAAGTTATGATTATTATATATGTATATATGTTAAACTAATTGGTGTTTTAACCGAAGCATGATACTGCGTTGAAGGCGCACTGTTTCCAATATGTGCGCTTACGCTGCAAATCACCGATGTCCATCTGATTGCGAAGACGCTTCACGATCTGCTTTGTGAAGAGGTAATTTATCAAAGCTGTGTCCATGGTTCCGTCGTCATCGACCAGCTGGAAATTTTAGATTTTTGTTAGAGAAATTTTTTTTAGTGAAGAAAATTTTGATTTTGCGAAAAAATTGCAAGAAATTTTAACTTCACACAATAAAAAGAAGAAATATAATTATATAACTGGATTTTCTTTAAAAAAATTTTATACACTAATTTCGTCGAATTCAATCAACCGAATTAATTGAGTAATTACTAAAATCGTTCAGAATTTTGTAGTTGTATTATATAATCTATAATTATCAAATTATAAGTTTAAATGAATTAATTATTACTTGGAAATTGCTGTTTTACATGCTGTCAAAGGATGTCGAAGGATTGGCGCCGAAAATCAACGAGCCTAGCCTGAGGAGCTAAGTGACTTTGAGTGTCAATCTCCGGGATTAAGTACCGATCAGTATAGTTTTAATTATAATTCAATATTTTCTTTGTTTATTTTAAATTATTTAAAAATACAGTTTATAATTTTGTTACCGTATTTTTTTTTTTTTTTTTACGAGAGTTTAGTGGCAGAAAATTATAGTATGCGAAATTTTGTTCCTGAAAAATTAAGTTCGACAAAGTAGAATTTTTATTGATTTTAAAATATTCAATTGCTTATATCTTCGAAAAAAAATCAATAAAAAATCAGTAAAAAATTTTACATTGCGTCAAAAAAATTTTTTTGTTATATATTTAACATTAAATATTTAACACAAAATTTTTTAGCATAATTCTCTCGATAACTTCAAAAGTATAAGATATGAGTCAAAAAATTAACTTTGAAAAATAATGTAATTCATGTGAAATACGTTGGAGTAAAATTGTTGAAGCCTCTATGGAAGAACATTGAATGTGCCCCAAATAACAGTTTCCATAAATATGATAGATAAAAACCATACGAAGTTGTGAAAATTAAAAAGAAAAAACGACCATTCGGCAGCCGAAATGGAAGTAGATTTTCTAATGAGTAGAAAAAAAAACTACTAGGGTCGTATACGAAAAAAAAAAAAAAAAAAACCAGTACAACAGCAAATTTCATAATTGGTATAGCGGAATAAGACTTAATTTTAAGACTACACATATATTGAAGCTTATTTAAAAAGCTTTCAGATGCAATTTACAGAGATTCAAAGAGTTATCCCAATAAGGACCAATACAATAGTTAGATTTCTATGAAATCTACTAAAAAGTGACTTGAAACACATTTGATAAAATAAATTTGATAAAAGAACATTTCACAATTAAAAGTAATGAAAGATTTAAACATAAGAAGGCAAATAATATAAAATATATCTATTGAATGTAAAAAAGCTCTGATCATTATTCTTCCAGTGACCTAACGAAAGATAATAACAATCTTGAATAGAATCTCTGATTATTTTGTTTCAATCAGTGACATGCTTTTAACGAGTGATGTCCCAAAAATAAAATAAATAATCCACAAAGTCCATCAAAGATCTTACTTAGATATCCCTCGGTCACTGTCATTTGTTTCCCTTCAGCGGAGCGGCTGTTTCAGATGTTTGTTATAATAATACTCGACTGTCGATCAACCGATAGGAATAAAAAAAAGGTATATTTTTATATGGAAAAATAACATTAAAAAGTAAAAGGGTAAAAGTCAGAACTAGTGATGACTCAGATCTGAATAAATGTACATATAAGCTTCAGTCGGTTTGTATTTTGATATTTTTTTTTTGTAACGTAGCGGAAGTCGGACGAATGAAGAAAATATGGACAGGAGATAAGGGGAAATTGATGAAAAACTTTGATAATTACTTTGAGAAAGCAGGGCAGAAGGGTCATAGGCAATTATGGAAGGATCAACAATGATATTCTTTGAAGGAACATCAAACATTTTTACGTGATCTGTAATCAATTTTTAGGAATTCAAATTCAAATTGTGTTTTGGGTAATTAAATTTTGTTGGTATATATAATCGATAATTTTGTTTTTTCTTGAGAACAATCGAACATTTAAAAAGTGTAATTGTAACAATGGTCGACAAATTGTACTCCGGACAATACTGGATTTTGCTTCCGGAGGGTTTATTTAATTAACAAGCTGTCATATGCAGTATTGTAAAGTCACCGTATACTTTTCCGATAGTTGTGTTAAAAATTAAACTCACTGATACTTCAAAATTAATTCTATTAAGGTGTAAATGAATTAATTTTATATGGAGAAAGAAAATAATATGTAAATTAATGAATAAGAACAAATTGAACTTTTTTAGGACAGAAAATATTTATTTTTTGTTTTTTTTTTTTATTTGGTGAAAATAAATAACTGGTATTTTTTCAAGGATCAGTGGATTATTGTAAGGATTGACGTCTACATTTTTGTATCGGTATTTTTAGCACGGGCTTAGTTTGAAGCAGTGGACTAGCTGTAATGCTGTTTCCTGATAGAAAACTGAATGGGGTGATAAAAAACACATAAACTGGTAAAATCAATAAATCGCTCGGGACATTACGAATTTTGCAGATAATATGATTGTTAATCAACATTTCAATTTTGAAGGTAATTTAGTTTTTTGAGATTTTGATGCAATGTAGGCGAGACAAGTGAGTGGATGAAATTTAATGATCCTGAAGTTAATTGAAATTTTGTAATTTTTTTTTAATGGAAAATCTGCAAAAAAACTTTTGAATAATAAATCTTTTATTATTTTTATTTATAAAAAGTTCTTTTTTTTCAATTTTTTATAAATTCATTATTAAGAATTTTCTATCGACGTTAAATTTTTACTTCATCTTAAAAAAATTGTGGTAAATGTATACTAGTAGATAGAATTACTCGACTCAATACAAAAAGTCTTGAAAAAGATTAATATAAAGAAAACAATAAATTTCTTAGGACAAGAGAAAAAATTTTTGAGCCAAGAAATTTTTTTTTAAAGCAAGAATTTTTTCCTTGACTCAAGAAATATAATTGTCATTCTTATTATAAGATTTTTTGTTCTTGAGTCAAGTAAATCCTTCTATCTGATAAATTAACTATGATAAATTGTAATTAGTTGATAATAAATAGTAATTAATTGATAATAAATATTTTTTTAAAACAGTAAAATTGTAATTTTAGCCGCCAATTTATTATAATTGTTATTCAAATGTTACAATTCAATAATTATATAGAAAAAATAGCATATTAACCAGTGATAAGAGCTATGTAAATGTCAAAAAAGTTTAATAATTAATATTTCCAACCAATTTTCTTTAGTGTTTATTATGTTGTACGAAAAAGATTGTCGTATGATATATTAAAAATATCAATTAAGGTTCTTAAATTTCTATAGTAAGAATTTAATATTTTAATGTAGCCAACGTCAACATTTTCAAGTTTGAAACGATAATTTTTAAAGAGTAAGGGTCGTTATTTACTATACTAACCGCTATAATTCACTTTTTTCAAAATTAAATTATAAATGTTGGCTTTTATACTTTTTTGTATTATGTTTCGTACTATAAAATGTTATGCCACCCCGGAGTCCAATGTATCATTTAAAATATTAAAAAAGGACCAGAATCTTATTACTTGTTTTTTTCTGCGTGAGCTTTGATTATTTAACACAAATTCAATAGCAATTTCAAAATTTAATTTTTATCATAAATTTTCAGCTAGAAACTTAAATAACTCAAATTAGAGTATATTGTCGAAAAGACCCAAGTAACATGTGCTTGAGCAAGATTTTGGTGCCAGCGTCTTGAGCAAAACCCCTAGTTGCTAGTGTCTTTTTCTACATATGGGTCTTGCTCAAGTTTATTTAAAAAGACATGGTTCAAGATTTATATGTAACTAGCTCAAGACATCTTGTGCAAGAATATGAGACAAGTATAAAGCAAGGTGCATTGAAAAACTTTCTTACGCATTTTTTGTACCAGAAACTCACAACAAAGACTTACCCATGACTTGCTCAAGATTTGCTCAAGATCCGTAATTCTCAGAAATCCACTAATTCTATAGTAAATATAGGAGGGGTAGAATGATGCGAACGGTCATTCAAAAACATTTCATCTTGAGCAAATCTTGAGCAACTCTTGCACAAGTATATTTAGCATGCTTCTGGTGTCAGTCTTTCTCAAGATTTGAGCTATAATCTGGCCCAAAGTTCTTGTACAAGGCTTGTGAATTGAATTTGCTACAAGTATCTGGAGCAAGACCCATAGGTAGAAAAAGACACTAACAACTATCGAAATTGAGACCAGATTTGCTCAAGCCTTGAAAAAGTTTGCTATATGGGGAAGCATCCATAAATTTTTAAATACTTCAGAACTAGAAATTTCAATGATAAAATTTGATAAAAAATGTTCACCAATTAGAACACCGCTTAATTACTAAAAGTTTAATTGAACGATAAGATATTCAATTATAACCCTGGAAATAATAATAATAATAATTATCTCAATAAATTAATTTAATAGCTCCGAGTGTAGCGATGAAAAAAAGTCGGTTTTATTTGAAAAAAAAAATTTCGTTTGATGTCAATTTAATTGAGACCGAAAAAAGCTCATTTTATTCATTTTCTAGTGCTGTTTCAGTCCATAAAAAATGTCACCCGGCTTAACCAAATGGTTTTTTAAAACAAACCAGCTTACGTTCCAAGTACTAAACACAAAACTCTACACGCAATTCCTCGAGAAATGAATTATGTAAATCCGTATAAAATTACGGTAATCATATAATATAAAAGTCTGCATAAATATTTATAATTCAAAAAAGTTGATTTTTTTGCTGTAGTTATAAAACAAGAGGAAAATATTTAACCAGCTTTTGTTTTGGTTATAATGCAAAAAAGTATGCCGCGTGGTTCATATACCATAGGGCTTTTTTAAATGCAAATGTAACGCAACCACCTGTCGCCCGAGTTTCAGAATTTTAAAATATCAAGCGGTTTTTCATATAAATTTATAGCGGTAAATTATAACTTTTACAGGTGCAATAGCAATAATAAAATTCATTTATTAAGGGTGTAGTGTGGTTGATCGATTTTGAAAATTCATCATTTTGAAGAAAATGAATTTCTTGAGCCAAGAGGAAAAGTTCTTGAGTCAAGAAGAAAAATTCTTACTTTGTTCTGATTAGATGATTGATGAAAATTAGATTTGACAAGTGTGATATGATTGTGTTACTTGCGTAAAACCGAAAATTGTTAATATAATTTCACCCCACATTTTTCAAGTGTCAACATTTGGGCGAATCTAGACCGATTTATCATGGCGCCCATGGATTATTGTTCGTAATGATTTTCAGGCTGTCAAGGCTAGGTGAGATTTGGGAATCATTGTGTCACCTCGGAATAACCGATGTAAATAAATAACAGCTATATAATATCAACAGTAGGTCGAGCTAAAAAATTAATCGGTAAAAATTTCGGAAGCGACGTTCGTATTGAACAAATAACATCTGAGTGAGAGAGAGATGAAAGAAAAAATAATTGATAATAAATAATGGATAGAGCTTAATAGAGGCGTGTTTACTCACGTCGAGCTCATTCAGATATCGTTCCTTGTTTGCCGGAAGAGCTGCACTCCACCCCACCAGGATTAGCACCGCGATCGCAGCCAAAAATGTTATTCTGGACATCATTTTCGTTTGCCGGAATTACAAGTGAGTCTTCAGTTGATCAATTATCTGGAATTGTAATTGTGAGAAATTTTTAAATCAGTATTTATTTCTGGGAATTAAAAATAGAAGAATCAATTGGGGTGAGTCATTTAAAAAAATATTTATTAATAGTCGCTTCGGTTAGGTTTGAGATGATAAATGTCATAACGATTTTTGAAAAATTAGACTTGATGTTATTTTGAAGGAGAATAATTTTTTTCTAAATATTTTAATTCTTGATGCATTTAAATATATAAACTGATGAACTCACAAAAATTTTTGTAGTAATTTTATCGATAAATTTAAAACTTGCATTTCATTTTTATTTGAAATTCTTATGGTTAAAATTTTTCCTGCTTTTTATATTTTTTTCAATTACTAAAATTCTTACAGATATTTTATCATTATGATAGTATCTCGTAATAAAATAAACAATTGAAAGAAATTTCAATTATTGTAATTTGAAAGCTCCAAAATTTTTCTTATGCAAATTTTTTTTCAATAATAAATCAAATTTTCACTATCAATATTGGAAGAACTGTCAAATAAATTTTTTAATTTATAATTAAATGTAATTTATAGTTAAATGTTATGTAAATAAAATTATTTGAGACTTCGACGCCCGTGCAAAAAAATCTTCGATTAATTGTCAATTTTATGTATAATTCAAATTAAAAAAAAAATTTAATTTCAAGCAATTATACTTCAAACTTAAATTATATTATTTATAAATAATACAAAATTTGTATACTAAGCAAATACTTGTAATCTTAATTTTATTTTTATTACTTATATCGACGGTCTAATTAGCAATTTGTCTCTCCATATTTTTTAGAGGGTGATTTTTTAACATTTTGATGTAGCCATAATCGAATTATAAATTATTTGAATGATTCAAACCTGAATATTATATCTCTATTAGATAATAATTATATAAAATGGTTTTTTAAAGTGATAATAAATTTTGAACTAATTGTTTTTTTCGTACAAATAGAAGATTCTCTAAAATGGAGTTAATAGACAATTTGCAAATTACTTCTTGCTATTTGGCTTTATGTCTTGGCATTTAAATGCAATAAATAAATAATTAATTATTGCTATTGCTTATTTTTAATGATCACTATCTGGTGATAATTATAGTTATAACCATAATTATAGTTGTAACCATAACTATTTTTCCTGACACATACAAACATATTTTTTCCATTATATAATATCATTATTTAAAAAGACCGAAATAAGAAATGAATAATATTGATAATAATAATAATAATAATAATAATAAGTGACCTTTAAAATAAACGCAAGACATGAATATAAAAAGGGAAATAAATCCCGATCTAAAGGAAATTTTGATTCGATTATGACCCATCCTGGTGTTATTTGATAAACATGGGAGCTTCCTAGGCTTCCTTCGATGTGACAGCGGAAATTATTAATATAAAAGCATAAATGTAAAGGCAATAACAGAGAGTTTAATTAAATCGTGCGTTGTATGTAAAGCTCTGGGTAAATTCATTAATTAACGTTAACTGTTTTTGCAAATAAGTGAATTGAATTTAAAGCGGCATCGGTATAGTATGCATGTGCCATAAAGAGCATGGCGGAACAGATGAATTCGTCGAGACATGGAACAATGAATAGTGTTACTTGGGCATTGTTTGATATTGTAAGTCGATTCTCGTTACGCCCGGTTAATGTCCCATATAACGTTAATAGTGCGTGTACACAAGACACTAACTCCTATCCGATTCTGTTTCATGGTACTGTGCCTCAGGATCCTTCGACGTTTTATGTCATGACCTGACACACATGTTTGTTATTAACTTCTGAGGATATTTAGATAAAATCCACATTATATGGTAAATTTTATAGAGATACATTTTTGTCATCGGTGTAAAAGATATATGAAGATGTAAATATAGCACAAATACTTTTGTTTTTAATGGTGCAATATTTACTCGTGCCTACGCAAACAATTAATCCAGATTATCTGTCAGTTGGCATTAATGATACGTTATATTTATGCTACGAAATAATCGGTCGGCTCTTATGAGATATATTGTCAGTAGGTCAGAGTTTATGCACAGAATAATTTTTTTTTTATATAATAAATTCAGGATTTGTCATATTTTAAATAGCTGATTTTTTTATTTGTAAAAAAAATTTAAGTATTGCAAAAATTTTGGTATAAAAATTTATAAAAATTATTTGTATGAAATTATATTTTTAATGAGAAAATTTTTTTTTAAAGTAAGAGAAAAATTAATATAAAAATTGTGACATTGAAATCAACAGATTGATTGAAAAAAATATGAAAGTTTAAAAAATACATGAAAATTAAAAAAAAATTTCACATATTTACTTGATAAATATTTTATTCATTTTTGCCAAAAATTAAAAATTTTTTTTCTGTTATTTTAAAAAAAATTTTAAGTAAAAAAAAAAAATAAATAAATATGTAGTAAATTTTAAATAGTGATATTAGAATTTTTTGTATAAATCCGAATAAGTATAAAAAGAGTGTGAAATGTCTACTAAGTGTCGCTTTATTATCATTAAGGCAATTTGATTATTTTCATTTAATTTATTTGTTCTTAAAAAATAACTAGTTTTTTTTTTTTATCATGAAAAATGAAGTATTTTTTAGTATTCGAAAAATTTTTAAAGATTCCTCAAAGTATTTCTAAAGTTATATCATTCAAAAAATATGAGAAATATAATTTTTTTTTTGTGACACAAAATATGCAAAATTAAAAAAGGAAAAATATCATCTTGCAGATTTAAAAAACAAAATTTGTAAATTTATTTATTAAAAATTTTCTAAAGTACTTACTTTATTGAGAAAAGATTTTGGCCTTCAAGAATTTGACTTTCATAAAATTTAAAGAAGAAATCACAATTTTTTTCTATAGAAAATTGTCAGAGATAATTTATAACATTTATAATTTATAAAAAAGTTATTTGAGTTATAAATAAATTTGGTGTAAAAATATTGTATATCTTTAGTGGGAAATTAATAGAAAATTATTAATAAAAAAAAAAATTAAATTGATAAAATAAACGACACCAAAAATACCAGGCAGAAAAAAAAATTTGCGACGCAAATTAGGACAATTACATTTATAATTAATAACGTGAAAAGTTGAATAATTTAAAACTACTTAGTAAGAAAAAAAAAAAGGAGTAATCATGCTTGAAGTTTGAGCTTGTAAACATAGATAGCTTTAGAAGATTAAAGGTGTGTTGAAAGGAAATAATTAATATAAGGTTAATTGAGAGAGCTTAATGAAATGTCTTACCGAAAGTAAATGTTGGCGGTTATTGGAGGTGTCGGCTGTCGCGAACAGGTGGTGGATTGCGGAAGTCGGTGATAAATAAATATTGTTATATTAGTGTGGAGGGAAGCAAATAAGCTGGCGTGTGATTATTGCCGTGATAGAGTCGAGGGTGATGTGACTGAGCTTGCAAGCACGCGATCACTTTATATCCGAGCAGAAGCTACCGGCGCGTCCCGCGGGACGATCTCGGGCTGGGGGTACGGGGTTGGTGGTGGCTGTGACGGAGATGCTGCCACAGCCACGGCGTTCGGTCGGTTGCTTGGTGGTGGGAAAAACAAAATCTCATCAGTGACACATACTGTTTCATCCCTTGCTGCTACCACTTTCTGACAGATCAAACTTGCTCGCGACAGCAACAACCATAAGTATCTTGTCTTACATTCACTTTTATTTATTTTTAGATTTTTACCATTTTTAGATACTTTTTTTATAGAGTAAATTTTCATTGAGTGATTATTTTTCATTCTTGTATCATCGAAAGTTGTAAAGTAGTGAAATTTTGATTATAATGTTATTCAACTATTACCCTGCTAGAAGAATTTGTTTATAGATAAAAATATTTGTTAATATTTAACAAATCATTTATTAGAGACCAATTTTTAGTATTAAACAAATATTTCTTAGTATTTAAAATAATTTGTTTGTATTTAATAAATCTTTTTAAATACTAAGAAATATTTGTTAAGGAATAATTTTCTTGGTCTGAAAATTTTTCTTTTCAATCATAAATTTGATTATTTTTCAGTATAAAATTACCAATTGCCATAAATGATAACAAATATTTTGTTTTAAACATTCAGACGTTAGGTAAATGATATTCAATAAATGTTTGAGGGTTAAAGATCAAACTTATGCGTTGGAAAAAATTAAAGTTTCAACTATTGACGGATGACAGGTATTTTATATTCTTAACGTAGAAAACTCTTAAACTGTCATCCTCTTAGAATAAAAGCGAAAAATAGAAAACATAAAATGTAAAGATATTTGCATTCTCGCTTTCGCATTCCTCTTTCGTCTTACCATCCTCAGTATTTTACGCAACGAAAACGTTAAATTTATACCCGATATTCTATCGAAATTGTTCCCCGACGGATGTCTACTGTATATAAAGAACTTACGCAATAACAAGTAACAAGCTTTTCGATTAACTCGCGCAACCCTAATATAATTTTTGTCTTTCATTAACTTTCTGTCTTCATAATCAACAACCTTGAAGTATTGAATTAAGTAATTTATTCACGACGATAGACAAAATATAGATAATATACATGTAATTTATTGATGAAATTCAATATCTCGATCATTTTTGAAGCAACAAAATTTATTTGAGGTGTTAAATTTATTACTAATCAATTGCTCTAATTAGAATGTTGTTACTTGATTAGATTCTGAGTAATCATTAATATAGTCAGTCCCAAAATTTACGTAAAATAAAAAACATTTAGTAGTCCAAAAATTTTTCTGCTTGATTCAAAACAATTAAACTTTTCTTGAATCAAGTTAATTTTTTTCCAAGTGCGCGAAAAAAGTTTTTAATCAAAGGAAAATAATTATTTAATAATTAAAAAAATGTTTTAAGAATTTTTAAACTATTTTCCATTTGTTCTTCTTAAATAAAAAAAAAAAAAGCCAACTGACAGAAAATTTACTACAACGGAAATAAAAAAGTATGTCTTAGTTTTTATTACAAAAATGACCATCAGGCGACAAGATAATACGAAGCTACAAACTATAAACTTTTTAGAGACTTCAAAGAAAATATTGTAAAAAAAAAAAGGGTGTTTTTCTTCAGAAGTAACAGACTACTGACCGAGTTTTGTTACGATCAAAATACGTATTCTGTTTACGACAATACGTATTGTAACGATCATATAAATACCCGCCTACATAACGTGTAATCAGTGTAGCATGATATTCGCGGTGCATCAATACAAGTTTTGCTGTCGAAACAAAAAATACTGTGGCTTATTTTCAGTATTGTTTTATCATTTTGATCAACATAAAGATTAATCTTTTACTATTCAAAGGGATTAAGGGGGTCTACCCACTTACACAGAGAAAAAGGTTTACTTGATTCAAAGAAAATTAATGAGAAAGATCAAACTGATCTGGGCTCAAGTTCAATTTTTATTGGAGCAAAAAATTTTCTTCGCTTGAGAAAATTTGATTTCGCCCAGGATAATTGTTGTCTTAGTATTGCATAAATATTATCTGGAGACAAAAAAGTTTTTTATTTATAGTTAAGAATTGATTTTTTTTTTATTAAGCAGTCTAAAAAAAAACCGATTTTTCAAAATTTTTTTCTAAATAGGCCCTTTTATTTGTTATTATTGAAAGGGTGTACATTAAGTAGTGACTCCAAATTTTCATAAGAAGTTCTTGATATTTACGAATAATAATGCAAAAAAAAAGGGGACCTTGCAATAAGCACAAAGGGAAGGAACAATAAAAAACAACATATTTTTAACAAAATGACAGCTTCACGGAACATTTTCGATTTTTGATCAAAATTTTAGGCTTGAATTGATTATAAAAACTATTTTGTAACTTTAAATTTATGTATTATCCCGTGTAAAAAAAAATCGTCTTAAAATTGTCTTAAAATTGTCGTTCGTTTAAGGTAGTACCCTCGCGACATATAGTGCGAGTAAATTTGGGTATAGTTTAGGATATTTTTGTCTTTCTCACTTGCTATTCCTTACTCACTTCTACTCATGGTTATTTTTGAATAATACAGTTATTTTTTAATAATATTTAAAAATCTAGATGGTAAAAATCAATGAAAGTTTGAAAAAAACAAATAATAGCTGTTTTTTAATAGTAGTTTAGTTTTTTATGAAAATCTTAAAAAAAGTTTCTTAGTTATAATAAAATATACGAGTAAAATTTTCGGTATCCCGTATATCACAATGCATAACCTCCTCTAAAAATTCAAACTTTGAAATTAAATATCTCTGAAACTAGATAGTCAAAAAATTTCAATTTGCGTCAATCGATGCAGAATTATATAAATATTAATCTGCCAAAATTTAAAAAAATTCCTAAGAAAACGCCTCTGGCGAGGGTACTACCTTAACTTAAGGCATTTTATATTGATAACTATTGTCACTTGATTCAAGAGTATATTATCTTCGATCGAAATAATAAAATTCTTTATTTAAGAACAACTGTCAAAAATTAACAATTTTAAATTCAATTTAAAAACATCTTACTCAAAAATATTGCAGTTAGAAAGTCGTAAAATCATCTAAAAATTAATTTTCACAACAAATTCGAGAACAAAATTTTCAAAAATCTGCTCTTGGAATTTTTCTTTTGGCGTCTTAAAAGAGTCTTAAAATAGTCTTAGTTTGTGTCACGTTTAAGATCTTATTAAACGAACGACAATTTTAAGACGATTTTTTTTTACACGGGATTATGTAAATTATAAATTATTTATCTGATGTAATATTAAGTGACCTTGTTACTGGCCCTTAGCTGTTAGGTCTATCTCAAAGGACTAAATAAATAAATACTCAAAAAAATTGTATCAAAATTAGAGACAGAAAAAAATAATTTGTTTTAACTCTAAGTCTGTATGACCCTTAAGACGACAATTCACTTTTTTTAAGTAAAAGATTCAAAATTATAAAGCAGAAAATTGACCTTTCAAATTTCTTTTATCATATCAGTAGATTTTAACTGTTCAATTCTCGAGATTTACATTGAGCAAAAAACAAAAGTTCGCTTCATGTTCTTCCAAGAAGACAGGACAATGCGAGTCAAAATCACTTAAGGGAGCTTAGTCTTCTTATTGACCCCGATAATCATGCAATGTCTGACGAAACAATAATTTTCCGTTTTCTTGATTAAATATTATTTTAGAAAATTGATTCTTTATTTTATAAAAGAAAACGATCATTGTAATCATATTAAAAAAAATTAATAATAATAAACAATTAGTAAATGAATAGACATGGATTAAAACTTGGATGATTTGATTGGATATCCGGGTTCTTGATAAAACAGTAGCATTAAATTAAAAAATAATTAAATCACATTATTTTTATCCTCCATTAAAAATATCATTCCCGGACGTACATCCTAGAATTTTAAATTATAAACTATGAGCTGGAGTCTTTATGAGTATATTATGCAGCTATTAAATTAACAAGTTATTTTGAATATATTTGTCTTTAGAATAAATATTATTAACCGTAATTCTATTACCTCACATAAAATTCAATTTAACGTGGATTTTAAGGGGTTGCATGCAGTCAGAGGCGTGAAAAAATCTGCGCTAAACTATTTTTAACTTGTTTAGTGTTCATTTAGTTAGAATTTTTTGTATTATCCAACAGGAAAATTTATGATTGAAATTTAACAAAGATTAGAAGATATGCTCTCGCGAAATTTATGTATAAATTTATTTCTTGCGAGTGATGGGTTAATTCTGATCGATGGTGCCTCTAACAAAAATTAAAAAAATTACAGTTTCAAAATCTTTATAAGAAATCCATTTCAAAATGATAAATATTACAGTTTTAAATAAAATTATAAATATTAATTTTTAATTTTCAGAATGTACTTCTCACACAGTAAAAAATTTTGCATCACTTTAAAAAATTTTGTGTTAAAAATTTTTATGTTAAATATGGTTAACACCTTTATATGTAAATTTAACATTTATTCTCTGAAATCAACACAAAAAATGTTAAATATTTTTTTATGAGAGTTTGTAAAAGTTATATTTCAAAACTGTAATTTTTTCATTTTCTTCGAGGAGCACTTAACTATTTAAATTTATAAACTGTAAAGAGACAACTGTTCTTCTTAAAGAAAGAAACTCAACCTCGACTGATTTTTTTTTATTCGAAAAAATGAACTTACATCAATTTTTATTTAAGAATAGATTTAATATCTGATCTTGGTCTTAATTTTTTTGAAAATAATTATGTATTGATAAAAAAAGTTAACTTGATTCAAAAGAAAAACACATGGACTAAAAAACTAATTTTTAAGTGTTTGATTATTTTTAATCGAGCTAAAAAGTTCTTGAACTAAGAAATTTTTCGTAATTTGAGTAAAATTCACT